CATGATCGGGGAAAAGAAGTGCATAATAAACTTGTCTCTTGGTGAAGTTCCAGTATTATATGTGAAGCTCTACTTTTTGATGCATAATTGATGTGGCTGATCGTTGAGGAAAAAATCAACAAGAATAAAATCTGAAGATACAGTACCAGAATTGATAGAATAGGTGTGTAAGATCTGATTTTGGTGCTTAAGTAACAATAGAAAAGGATATGAGTCCGGTGTAGAAATTCATGATACTGTACATCAGGTTAACCTTTCTCTTTTTTCCTGGATAAGTATCAGACAAGGTCAACTTCATTACATGTTCACTTTGGAAGGGACAGTATATGCAAGTTAAATTGTGGAAAAGTTAGTCTTGGAATCATTCCTCAATGATGCTTAGGATCCATGAATTCTAGCGGTAGTGTCTACAGGTACACTATTGCACCTACACACACTCAATGATGCTTAGGATTCATGAATCTCGGGCATATCTCTCCTTTCTTTTCTTACATCATGATACCCTTCATGGATGATACCTTCACAAACACTCGTTGTACCAAGCATGAAATCAAACTCTCTAATTCTTTTGTCAGTGTACGACTTTTACCGTTTTGATCTGTTTTTTGTCCTTTCCTAATGAACTGAACCTTTTTCAAGGATTCATGTACCCAATCTGGTCCCAATAGCCTCCTCTCCCTTGGCCCCCAAACAAGCAGTGAAGGTTTGCAACGCATCCTGTACAGAGCCTCATAAGGTGCTAACTTAATACTGGATTACTGACTCTTATTATAAGCAAACTCAGTGAGATGCAAAGTGGTTAAGCATGATAGAAATGTGAAGAGTACACATGTGGTTCTTGACAGTTCATCATAGGCTAGATATATTCCTGATTCAGTAAATCTAAGACTAGGTAAATTAGTTTTGGATCATTACTTATTATTTCTTGAAAGCACTCTCTTTTGTGCTATAAGCACTACATGACGTCCTTAATCACCATAACAACCATAAATTAGAGTTCCTCCATCTACTCTACTTAAGATCAAAAAATGTTAAAGGGTCAAGCAGGCAAGTTATGGTCAAAGCTAGCTTTTATAAGTAGGTGGTATGCGAAGATTTAGGAGCTCCCTTCAGGCACTTCACTATTCAGTTGGCAAAGAAATGGAGTTGGGAAACTAGATAGTATGCGGAAATACTTCTATCTGGTGTCAATCTCTCCAAAGTGTTGAGCAAACATTATCTGTTTTGAAGGGAAATTCTGGTATATATGTCTACATCTGCCCCTATTTATCACGTGCATGTATATTTTGTATCTATACACATCTAAAAAGAAGGGGAGTCTTGGCGTAACTAGTAAAGTTTTTGCCACGTGATCAAGAGGTCACGGGTTCGAACTGTGGAAACAACCTCTTGCAGAAATGCAGGGTAAGGCTGTGTACTGGGTCTGGACCCCTGCATAACGGGAGCTTAGTGTGCCAGGCTGCCCTATACATTTGTAAAATATATCTATCTTAACCTGAATTTGATGCCTTACCTTTGCTGGTCATGCTAGGATGCTGGTATGTCATGCTCTTGTGAGTTTTATCTAAAGAAATTTTCTAATATTTGCTTTCTTACTTACTAGTTTTGTAAATGTACAGCTGAAGCCCCTCCTAAAGTAGTTTATTCTTCCTGATTATTTTGAAATTTACAAGTTATCCCGATGTTTAATTAACACCTTCTATCACTATCTTATGATGTCAGATTCCACCAACCAGAGCTAAATCCCCCAAACTTGGGAGAAGAAAGAGCTCGCCCACCAAAGAAAGGATCAATGAGAGTGTCATGCGCCCAGGTAGGTTAAGCTTGGACGAAAATGCATCCCAAAATAACCCTGTCAAAGGGCATTCTCCTCTCATTGTTAAGAAGCCTCAAAGGAAGTCACTTCCAAAGCTGCCATCTGAGAAAACCAACTTATCCAATGAAACAAGAAAGCTTTCCATTCGCAAGTCTAGCTCATCCAAGGAATCAGCAGAAGCTGCATCTCTGCCGAATGCTTTACCCAAGGAAACAAGTGAAGTTTCTTCTCAGCCAAATAACCAACACAAGCAAGCTATTGAATTTGATGCAGATGGTCAAGAGTGTGAGGTTGTATCAGTTGTTGAACCGAGCCAGACTGAGACTGGTGTTGAAGCTCAAATAGAGACTAATCTGGTGCAGGAACATGTCACAATCGAGCATTAGAAGCAACCACTGAAGTTGAATATATACTCATGGAGCAATCTTCATTCGCTCTTTGCCTTAAGTATTGCAAAGGTATGAATAAGATGAGAAATGAATGCACTTGATATTGTACTGGTCAAACATCACCATTTTGTCTATAGTCAGCGCAGCAAGGTTGAATTTGTAGTGGTCTATCTTCTTTCAAGATTGCTGAGTGTGGTCATCAGAAATATGCAGGCTGCTTGCCTCTGTTATCTAAATGTTGAGTAGCCAGAAATCCTTAAGAATTTTTGTCTTTTCTACTAGTCGAGTACTTTGCAGTTGCAGAAAATTTGGGACAATACTGGCTGCTGAAACTGTTCTGTTGAACCAAATGGTTGTTGCTTGTTTATTAAGGTGTATTTATAAATTACATATACATTACATGATGCTCTAGCTTTGTTCAGGTATTATGAATCTTTTCCTCCCTTGAGTCAGTGTAGTGTAGTCATCTTATCCTCTGAGTTTCGAATCGTGCCCCTCTGGACCTTTACGATTTCTCTGTTATAAAAAATAAAAAGACCATGTACTTTGTTGGAGCTGTTTTCTAGTATGAACTTTTGTGTTATGGTCCATTGCAAGTTCCACATTGATACTACAAAGTGTTGATGTGGGGTTTATATAGCCTCGGGGTCGGTCTCTCCCACCTCAATAGTGTTTTTTTGGGGTGTGGTTCTCCTTGGGTTGAAACTATGATGTCAGCGCTAGCCACCACCCTAGGTGATTTCTTTCAACTCGACTGTGCTCGTATGATGTAGCAAGTTCCCGCAGGCTATCTAGGTGTGCACGAGTTGAATCGAATACCGTTCTTAATAAAAAGACAATTATTCCTTTCAATAGGAACCACAATTATGGCTTTTTCCTCCTATAGAATTGGTAGGTTTTCCAAATAGATTGATTGACAGATTAAAATGATTGGACCAAATTGAATAGCTAATAGCAAATTGCTTTTTGTTGGAAATATTTTAGTAGCCTATAAGAACAGTCATAATATTCGAGAAATGTTTTTGGTACGGAGAAAAATATTCTATGGAAAATAAGTTTCTTAAAAATACTAATAGATGATTTGGAATTGAATAAGTTGAGATTAGTGTTGAAATTGTTTTCCTATTGGTGTGATATTATTGATATGACAATAAATAAGTGATTTTACTATTCAATTAAGCTAGTGATCATTTAAGAAATTTATCCTATAAAAAATGAACAATTTAAGGTGAATCTTTAATTTAATATATAGACCTAAATAGAGCGCAACCAATCCAAATGATTTATATAGTTGATTAATTAGTAATCCTCGCATTCCTTTTTAATTGAAAATATAATTTTCGACACCAATTTAATGATATGATAGCTGTAAAAAAAATTAAAAATTAATTTGTTCAGAACTCACTCTAAATAAAACCCAATCCTTGTATAAGTTGAAATCACCTATACAAATTTTCATTATTTTAATTAAGCTAAATGGATTGATAAACTTTACCATGAATTGACAAAATTTACGTTGATGGTCCAATTTATTGTAAATCACCTCTCTTCATAGCACTAGTGGTGCTTTGATCCAACTTTCACTGTCACATACAAGGCAAGCTAAAAAGTTATCATTCTTAGATAGTACTATTACTTGTATTAAGAGATTTATAATAACCAATTAAGTTTTCTTCTTTATTTAGTAAATAAAAATGATTTTTTAGTTGCAAGGATTAGACATTGCCAGATATTATAATTAGAAATTTTGAAATTAAATTCACTGGATATTACTATTATAAAAAGACAAATGCATAAGACTCGGACATGAACAAATCATCACAAGCTTAACACTGACGTTATACGAAGAAGCCCATTCAGCTCTAGATGAATTAATTTGTGACATAGTCTATGTATTACATCAATGGTAGCATTGCCTACTCAAGGACATTTTTAATCCAACAAGCTTAAGGTTCATACAATATTGACCCATAATTTTGAGAGACTCATTCTCAATATATGAACAATCATTCATTGACAAAGAGTTGAGATTGAGACAATTCTTTGCTATACCTAACAAAGACTTATTAGTAATTCTTGGGCATTGGAAAAGATCAAGCTTCTCTAATAAATGACAACCATGAGCAATCTCAGACAAGCCTTCATCACTAACAGATGACACATTCGATAAGGAAAGTTCTTTGAGAGTAGGGCAACCTTGAGCAATAGCCTTGAGATCAACATCAGTCACACCAATTTCCCTGAATGGATAGCTTTGCTAAACCTCCACAGTTTACAGTTCCAACAGCAATAGCAGCAAGTGTTACATCTATGGCTTTCCTACCAACAAAGGACATGTTAAGATATCCATTAAATTTTGCAATCTCATCCTTGCGAATGTTGCTTAAAAGTGTAAGCCATCACTTGGGAACACAAGCACTAGCACTTCTCTCTTGACCACTGGAAAGACATTTGAAAATCTCAAAGAGGCATTCATTAGGAAGAATTTTGAGCTCTAGGCTTGGTAAAAATCCTTCGAGTCAGAGTTGCCATGGGTTTGGTTGACACAACTCTTGAGGAGACCGTATTTATCAACGGAGATCCATATTTCTTGATGCTTAATGACAGACCAAGTGCTTCTTCAACAGGTAGATATCTCATTTTCCAGGTCTGTACCTCCTTTTCCCAGTTAATACGATGTCCATCAGGAAACTTACTATGTTTCTTTGGTTGCACAGTACTCTGACAAATCTTTTCACAGGGATGTAACTTGGATCCCTCATACTGCACTTTTTCTAGTCCACTTGATGAAGACATTATCCCTTTGCCAATATCACATTCTTCACAACACCAATCCATTGGTGCATCAACATAATATCCCAGCATGCAATATCTGAAAGGAAGAGAAAAAAGTAGAATTTTTTTAAAACAAAAGGAGGATTATGTATGCATAAAAGATACAGGCAGTATTTATGAGAATTAAATGCCACAACATGCAAAAAAATTCAAAAAGGAAAGCAAAACTGATAATCTAACTAGCAATTTCCTTCAAGAGGAACAACCCCTTGTGTAAAAAGATCAACTTCTCTCTTAGAAATGTCAAGTAAACTAAATAAAAGGGGGTTTGGGATTGGGCCAATGTTTGAGGTTTACAAAGAACATATAGATTTGACACAAGGTGATGAAGCTTGATAGAGAATCATGGCTTTCAGATTTTCTAACTGATTGTCTACCTTTTCATACTAAGAAAAGACAGAGAGAGAGGAGGGTGAGAGAATTATCGATGCACGTCAACATTGTTACACTGATAACATGTAGAATTGCTTTTTCAAAACCTGTATCACCGCAAATTTCACAATTTTTTTCTGCAGGTACACATAGAAAACATAAGAAATTTAGAAGTTGACAGACTCTTAATTGGAATTAAGATTACCATATGAACAATATATGTGGAGACAAAATGTCATCAAATACGGAAAGCTAAATCATAACCAACAAAATCAAGTTCTCGTCTTCTTTCATAATATATAACAGAAGCATATCCACCAGCGCATTCCAAGTATTCTATTTAAGTTTGTTATTTTTTACTTAAATGTTATACCATTAGACACACTCTAGTTGCCTTTAACAACTTCTTTTGGACAATCTGTTATAGAGCAAAAACCTTGATGCACAAATGAAACCAAACAAGTATCCCCACTTTCAAAAGGCATAATAATCTGCATACACAGGTAAATGTACAACCTAAAAAATCATTGAAAATGAGAAAAACATAGAAATTATAGACGTACTTTGAGAATCACTGCACAGGGCTGTGGATACAAGTATAAAGAGCTCAACGTCATTTATAAGCATTCTCATTAGCAAATCTTTGCTACGCATGAACTTCACTAGAGCAATATATCTCTCAAACCTACATATAATGGGAAATGAGAATCAATTTCTAGTAAAAACGTTCCTTTGCAAGGGGGGACTTCTACTTTGCAACCCCTTGCCCCTTTACGGATAGATATATAAGGCAAAAGCTGACCTTTTTTTCTCACTTGCAAAAAAATACAGTCCTATATCTTCTTTACTAGGAATATGGTTGTTAAATAGACTTTCCCAAATATCTCCATGGGGAACAAGTTCAAATTCAAGAGTATCAGGCACAAAACCTGAGAACTCATACACCTTACGTCTAACTCTAGAAAGAGGATGAGCCTGGATACAACTATTGAGCATCCCAGGTAAAATTTCCAAAACACCTAAGATGTCAAAACCTCCCCTGAAATGTAAAAAAGAAAGAGAGATTAGATCATTTATCATTTGACTATGCGGTACACATTCAGATTATCATTATGCCATATATTCTTTAGTGCCCTAATCATTATTTTAGCGATACTAATGGCGTCCCAACCAACTTGCATGTACCCCAACTAATTCATTGGGCAACTTGTCCATCCCACAAGTACATATTGACACGGTAATGCTTCAAAGTAAGGCTAGATCACATGGGGGCACAATGTGTTGTAGCTGGGATTCAAAACTAGAATGTCCAAGCTGTTAGTCTTATGCCTTAACCACTAGGTCATCTCCTCATGGACCAACATTATGTTGTTGAAAAAATGTATTATATATGTTTTCGTATTTATCAATAAGGAAATTACAAAGAGTAGTTAATCAGTCAACTGACTACTAGCAAAGATGGGCCATCCAAAAACAGACATGAGCTAAATTTGAATTAGTAATAACTGTACACGATTAAGGGTACTTACTTCCGGGAAGGAACTAGAGAAGGATCACAATGGTAAGTCGTAGATGAATTCATTATTCGATTCTTATTCAAATCATTAGGATCGTATGCTCAAGACTGGTAAAACCACCTGAACCTAAAAAATAGGCTACATCAATTGGGTGGAAGTACAGAAGTAAAGAAATTTTTCTATGAAAGCTTTATAGATGTTGATGGTGTAACGAAAATTATTTTGAAAGATAATAACAACTCTAGATATATCAACATCATTTAAAAAAAAACTATTTAGAGTATATGCTAGAAAATGAAATTTCTGAAGAATAAAGGTATAAGAAGAGGACAAAACAAATCAAGTAATTTATACAAAATATTGTAGTGAACACTTAACCTTTAGATACTTGAACATTTTTTTGCTATGTTCAGTGTTTTTGGCAATTCGAAGATTTTGAGGTTTAGTATATCCCGTTGATGCTAAAGGAAGCTGCACTTTGCTCTTCTCACGAAAAGAGTTTGAAATTTTAGCTCTAGGCTTGCTAAAAATCGCTCGAGTCATGGTTGCTATGGATTTGATTGACACAACTCTTGAGGAGACCGTATTTATCAGAGTAGATCCATATTTCTTAATGCTTGATGACAGACCAAGTGCTTCTTCAACAGGTAGATATCTCATTTTCCCGGTCTGTACCTTCTTTTCCCCATTAATACGATATGCACGAGGATACTTACTATGTTTCTTTGGCTGCACAATACTCTGACAAATCTTTTCAAAGGCATGTAACTTGGATCCCTCATAATGCACATTTTCTAGTCCACTTGATGTAGACATTATCCCTTTCCTAATATCAGATTCTTCACAACACCAATTCACTGGTGCATCAGCACAACAACCCAACATGCAATATCTTAAAGGAAGAGAAAAAAATAGAATATTTAAAACAAGAAGAGGACTATATATGCATAAAAGATATAGGCAGTATTTATGAGAATTAACTGCCACAACATGAAAAAAAATTCAAAAAGGAAAGCAAAACTGATAATCTAACTAGCAATTTCCTTCAAGAGGAGCAACCCCTTTTGTAAAAAGATCAACATCTATCTTAGAAATGTCAAGTAAACTTAAAAAAAAGGGTTTGGGATTGGGCCAATGTTTGAGATTTACAAAGAACATATAGATATGACACAAAGTGATGAAGCTTGAAAGAGAGACATGACTTTTAGATTTTCTAACTAATTGTCCACATTTTCATGCTACGAAAAGAGAAAGAGAGAGAGAAAACTTACTAATGCACGTCAACATTGTTACACTGATAACAGGTAGTAATTGCTTTTTCAAAACCCGTGTCACCGCAAATTTCACATTTTTTCTGCAAGTTCACATAGAAAACACAAGAAATTTAGAAGTTGACAGATACTTGATTGGAATTAAGATTACCATATGAACATAATGATATGTGGAGACAAAATGTTATCAGATACCGAAAGCTAAATCATAATCAGTAAAATCAAGTTCTCTTCTTCTCTCATAATATATAGCAGAAACATATCCACCAGTGCATTACAAGTATTCTATTTAAGTTTGTTGTTTTTTACTTAAATGTTATAACATTTGACACACCCTAGCCGTTGTTAACATCTTCTTTTGGACAATCTATTATAGAGCAAAAACCTTGATGAACAAATGAAACCAAACAAATATACCCACTTTAAAAAGTCATAATCTTCTGCATACACAAGTAAATGTATTATTACCTAAAAATTCATTGAAAATGAGGAAAAAATATAGAAATTATAAACGTACTTTGAGAATCAGTGCACATGGCTGTGGATGCAAGTATAAGGAGCCCAACATCATTAATAAGCATTCTCATCACCAAATCCTTGCTACACATGAAGTCCACTAGAGAAATATATCTCTCAGACCTACATATAATGGGAAATGAGAATCAGTTTCTAGTAAAAACCTTCCTGGGCAAGGGGGGAGTTCTACTTTGCGACCCATTGCCCATTTACAGATAAATATATAAGGCAGAAGCTGACCTTTTTTTCTCACTTGCAAAAAAATACAGTCATATATCTTCTTTACTCGGAATGTGATTGTTAAATAAACTTTCCCAAGTATCCCCATGGGGAACAAGTTCAAATTTAAGAGTATCAGGCAAATGACCTGAGAACTCATACATCTTACGTCTAACTCTAGAAGGAGGATGAGCCTGGATACAACTATTGAGTATCCCATGTACAAATTCCAAAGCACCTAAGATGTCAGAACTTCCCCTGAAATGCAAAGAGGAAGAGAGATTAGATCAATTATCATCTGACTAAGCAGTACACATTCAGATTATCATTATGTCATATATTCTTCAGTGCCCTACTCATTATTTTATCGATACTAATGGCGTCCCAACCAACTTGCATGTACCCCAACTAATTCATTGGGCAACTAGTCCATCCCACAAACACATATTGACACGCTAATGCTTCCCAGTAAGTCTAGATCAGATGGGCGCACTATGTGTTGTAGCTGGGATTCAAACCTAGAATGTCCAAGTTGTTAGTCCTATGCCTTAACCACTATGCCATCTCATCATGGACCAACATTTTGTTGTTGAAAAAATGTATTATATATGTTTTCATATTTATCAATAAGGAAATTACAAAGAGTAGTTAATCAGTCAGCTGACTACTAGCAAAGATGGGCCATCCAAAAGCAAACATGAGCTAAATTTGGATTAGTAATAACTGTACAAGATGAAAGGTACTTACTTTCGGGAAAGAACTAGAGAAGGATCACAAGGGTGTGTCATAGATAAATTCATCATTCGACTCTTATTCAAATCATCAGGACTCATACGCTCAAGACTGGTAGAACCACCCGGACCTAAAAAAATAGGCTACATCAATTTGATGGAAGTACAGAAGTAAAGAAATTTTTCTATGAGAGCTTTATAGATGTTGATGGTGTAACGAAAATTATTTTGAAAGATAATAACAACTCTTGATATATCAACATCATTAAAAGAAAAAAAACTATTTAGAGTATAAGCTAGAAAATGAAATTTCTGAAGAATAAAGGTATAAGAAGAGGACAAATCAAATCAAGTAATTAATACAAAATATTGTGGTGAACACTTACCCTTTAGATACTTGAACATTTTTTTTTCTATGTTCAGTGTTTTTGGCAATTCGAAGATTTTGAGGTTTAGTATATCTTGTTGATGCTAAAGGCTGTTGCACTTTGCTCTTCTCACGAAAAGAGTTTGAAATTTGAGCTCTAGGTTTGCTAAAAATCGCTCGAGTCATGGTTGCTATGGATTTGGTTGACACAACTCTTGAGGAGACCGTATTTATCAGCGTAGATCCATATTTCTTGATGCTTGATGAAAGACCAAGTGCTTCTTCAACAGGTAGATATCTCATTTTTCCGGTCTGTACCTTCTTTTCCCCATTAATACGATATGCACGAGGATACTTACTATGTTTATTTGGCTGCACAATACTCTGACAAATCTTTTCAAAGGCATGTAACTTGGATCCCTCATAATGCACATTTTCTAGTCCACTTGATGTAGACATTATCCCTTTCCTAATATCAGATTCTTCACAACACCAATCCATTGGTGCATCAACACAACAGCCCAACATGCAATATCTTAAAGGAAGAGAAAAACACAAAATATTTAAAACAAGAAGAGGACTATGTATGCATAAAAGATATAGGCAGTATTTATGAGAATTAACTGCCACAACATGAAAAAAATGATTCAAAAAGGAAAGAAAAACTGATAATCTAACTAGCAATTTCCTTCAACAGGAGCAACCCCTTGTGTAAAAAGATCAACATCTCTCTTAGAAATGTCAAGTAAACTAAAAAAAGGGGTTTGGGATTGGGCCAATGTTTGAGATTTACAAAGAGCATATAGATATGACACAAGGTGATGAAGCTTGAAAGAGAGACATGACTTTCGGATTTTCTAACTAATTGTCCACCTTTTCATGCTACGAAAAGAGAGAGAACTTACCGATGCACGTCAACATTGTTACACTTATAACATGTAGTAATTGCTTTGTCAAAATCTATGTCGCCACAAATTTCACATTTTTTTTCTGCAAGTTCACATAGAAAACCCAAGAAATTTAGAAGTTGACAGACACTTGATTGGAATTAAGATTACCATATGAACAGAATGATATGTGGAGACAAAATGTTATCAGATACGGAAAGCTAAATCATAATCAGCAAAATCAAGTTCTCTTCTTCTCTCATAATATATTACATGGGAATTTTCCTGGAAATTAATATGAAGATTTGCAAGAAAATAAGGTTCATGCGGATTTTCATACCAATCCTAGGAAAATCCCCAAGTAATTCACATTTTTCCTGCTGTGAGCATATCCACCAGTGCATTCCAAGTATTCTATTTAAGTTTGTTGTTTTTTACTTAAATGTTATATCATTAGACACACTCTAGCTGTTGTTACCATCTTGTTTTGGACAATCTGTTATAGAGCAAAAAACTTGATGAACAAATGGAACCAAACAAGTAACCCACTTTAAAAAGGCATAATCTTCTGAATACACAGGTAAATATATTATTACCTAAAAATTCATCAAAAATGAGAAAAGAACATAGAAATTATAGACGTACTTTGAGAATCAGTGCACATGGTTGCGGATGCAAGTATATGGAGCTCAACATCATTTATAAGCGTTCTCATCACCAAATCCTTGCTACGCATGAACTTCACTAGAGCAATATATCTCTCAGACCTACATATAATGGGAAATGAGAATCAATTTCTAGTAAAAATGTTCTTGGGCAAAGGGGTACTTCTACTTTGCAACCCATTGCCCTTTTACGGATAGATATATAAGGCAGAAGCTAACCTTTCTTTCTCACTTGCAAAAAAATACAGTCCTATATCTTCTTTACTCGGAATATGATTGTTAAATAGACTTTCCCAAATATCCCCACGGGGAACAAGTTCAAATTTAAGAGTATCACGAAAAAGACCTGAGAACTCATACACCTTACGTCTAGCTCTAGAAGGAGGATTGTCACGCCCCGAGCTACCCCCAAGGCGCGGACACGGGACCTAGGACCACAAGTGATCCCAAGCTAACCCTGCTGGCATGATCATGAGCATACTAAAGAAAATAAACTGATGCGGAAGCTAATTCATAATTAAATCTGAAAAGATGGGGAATACCCATATACTATAACTGAATATATGAAATCTGAGAGTTTAATACAAAAGAAATATCAAACTCAAAACACTAAGCTGAATCTAACTATGTCTGAAATAAGCCTCTAAACTGACTAGAAATGTTGGGACATGCCCCAACTAGATCTAGCAAAACTGAAACTAAAGACTAAAACACTGAAAAGAAACTCATGACTATTGTCCCCGAAGAATGAGGACTCACCAACTGATTCTGCTGAACTGAAGATCGGGAATCGATCTAAGCGTGATCTGGATGCTGAGAACCTGAACCTACATCACGAGAAGATGTAGCGCACGTATGCGTCAGTACTTGAAAGGTACTGAGCATGCAGGATGGAGTAAAGCTGAAAGAACATATAACTGAACAAAGCAATAAAACAATGAAATAATCTGAACATGATATAGATACTGAAAATACTGAATACTGAGCTAACTGATGCAATGACCAAATTTATAACATGCTGACTGAATACTGAATGAACTGTAAATGTGGTCAATGCAATAGAGTCTGACTGAACTGTGGGAGCTACTAATAACCGACATAAAACCACATGAGCTAAATGTGGAGTCTGATGTATACGCCCCATCGAGAGGACCCAATATACCCTGCCAGAGGTATAAAGGCATGCTGGCGTGATCACTAAACTGATGTTGCCCACAGAGGGGACTTACACCTACGTGGCTCGTAGTTCTGGGACTATATGGGTACGTTGAAACCCTTGTCCAACTCGGTACTATGCTACTCCCAATGAATTAAGTAGTTAACACATTATGACTGAGTTTCTATAAATACTGGATAGCTCGAAACTGAACATGCAAACTGAGAATGCAACAATTAATCTGATAATGATGCATTCATAAACTGAGGCATGTAAAACTGAATACTGAAATATCTGACCTAGCATGTGTAATTCAAGAACTAAAGAAATACATAGCTAGGGTTCTGAAATTCATGCGATAAGCTGAGCAATAACATGATAATCTGATTTGGAACATTTAAATAACTAATTCATGATGATCTGCTGTAATTCTAGAAACCCTAGGTTTGTTCATAATCATGGAATCAAGAATCTGACTGAATTCTAGGGACCTAATGAGCGAAAGGAACCCACTAGTGAAATCCCACATACCTGGTGACGAATTCCACGGAGAAATCTTTCGATTTCGGGGCTGAAACTGAAGGAAACTTGCTGTGTTCTTGAACTAGGGTTCTTGACCTTTTTCTCCCTTCTTGCTTCTAATTTTCTAAGTTTTGATTAATGAATTTGACTTAGGTAAGTTCTAGTTATGTTTCTAGGTTTAAACTAATTAAAACCTCATGATTTAGGGTCTAAACGACGTATCTTAGGGGTTAAACGAAATAGGAAAAGACCAAAAGACCCTTAAATTAGCTGCTGTCGGAGTGACTGACGGACCTGACTGACGGTCCGTCAATCAATCGACGGTCCGTCGATTGGGTCCGTAGATGGAGTCTGCCCGACAGGGCTTCACTAAAACGGGCATAAATTTTTACTCGGAGGTCGGAATTTAGCAAACTCGGTGGCGTTGGAAATATAATTCAATTATCTATCTAACCATAGGTCATGGGACACATAATTCATTTTGTGCTAAAAGTTATGACCATCTGAAGTTGACCCATCAGAATTTTCAGCTAACTGACTACTATTCTTCGATCTACGGTCAGACCTACGGACCGTGGATCGAATGACGGTCTGTGATGGTCAATCGTAGTTCATGTCAGAGGCTGGGTAAAGGAGGTATTGATCCACGGACACAGACCACGAACCGTGGTCTGATCTACGGACCGTGGGTCTGTCCGTGAGTCGAGACTTAACCAATTTTCTGAGCTGGCTGGGGAGGGGTTGCAGCGGTGAACCACGGTCCACCAGCACGGGCCGTGGTCTGACCTACGGTCCATGGATGGTGACCGTAAGTTGCACCTGCAACTTCTCAAAATCTGCATTTTTTGTCTATTTTGAATACGGGGTGTTACAAGGATGAGCCTTGATACAACTAATGAGCATCCCAGGTACAAATTCCAAAGCACCTAAGATGACAGAACTTCCCCTGAAATGCAAAGAGGAAGAGAGATTAGATCAATTAACATCTGACTAAGCAGTACACATTCAGATTATTATTATGTCATATATTCTTCAGTGCCCTACTCATTATTTTAGCGATACTAATGGCGTCTCAACCAACTTTCATGTACCCCAAGTAATTCATTGGACAACTAGTCCATCCCACAAACACATATTGACACGTTAATGATTCCCAGTAAGGCTAGATCAGATGGGCGCACCATGTGTTGTAGCTGGGATTCAAACCTAGAATGTCGAAGTTGTTAGTCTTATGCCTTAACCACATGGCCATCTCCTCGTGGACCAACATTACATTGTTGACAAAATGTATTATATATGTTTCCGTACTTATCAATAAGGAAATTACAAAGATTAGGTTAATCAGTCAGCTGACTACTAGCAAAGATGGGCCATCTAGAAACAGACATGAGCTGAATTTAAATTAGTAATAACTGTATACTATGAAGGATACTTACTTCTGGGAAGGAACTAGAGCATGATCACAAGGGTGTGTCATAGATGAATTCATCATTCGACTCTTATTCACAACATCAGGACTCCTATGCTCCAGACTAGTAGAACCATTCGGACCTAAAAAAGAGGCTACATTAATTGGATGGAAGTACATAAGTAAATAAATTTTGCTATGACAGCTTTATAGATATTGATGGTGTAACGGAAATTATTTTGAAAGATAATAACAACTCTAGATATATCAACATCATTTAAAAAAAATAAAATTTAGAGTATATGCTAGAAAATGAAATTTCTGAAGAATAATTAAGGTATAAGAAGAGGAAAATCAAATCAAGTAATTAATACAAAATATGTTGGTGAACACTTAACCTTTAGATAATTGTACTATTTTTTCGCTATGTTCAGTGTTTTCGGCAATTTGAAGATTTTGAGGTTTCGTATATCCTGTTGATCCTAAAGGCAGCTGCATTTTTCTCTTCTCACGAAAAGAGTTTGAAATTTGAGCTCTAGGCTTGCTAAAAATCCCTCGAGTCATAGTTGCCATGGATTTGGTTGACACAACTCTTGAGGAGACCGTATCGATTAGCGGAGATCCATATTTCTTGGTGCTTGATGACAAACCAAGTGCTTCTTCAACAGGTAGATATCTCATTTTCCCGGTCCGTACCTCTTTTTCCCAGTTAAAATGATGTCTACTAGGAAACTTACTATGTTTCTTTGGTTGCATAATACTCTGACAAATCTTTTCAGAAGCATGTAACTTGGATCCCTCACAATGCACAATTTCTGGTCCGCTTGATGAAGACATTATCCCTTTGCCAATATCACATTCTTCACAACACCAATCCACTGGTGCATCAACATAATAGCCCAGCATGCAATATCTAAAAGGAAGAGAAAAGGCTGAATATTTTTAAAACAAGAAAAGGACTATGTATGCATAAAAGATACAGGCAGTATTTATGAGAATTAAATGCCACAACATGCAATAAATATTCAAAAAGGAAAGCAAAATTGATAATCTAGCTAGCAATTTCTTTCTAGAGGAACAACCCCTTGTGTAAAAAGATCAATGTCTCCTTAGAATTTTGAAGTAAACTAAAAAAATAAGAAGGAGGATGAGCCCAAATACAGCTATTGAGCATCCCAGGTACAAATTTTAAAGCACCTAAGATGTTAAAACTTCCCCTGAAATGCAAAGAGGAAGAGAGATTAGATCAATTATCATATGACTAAGCAGTACACATTCAGATTATCCTTATGTCATATATATTTTCAGCGCCTACTCATTACTTTAGCAATACTAACGGTGTCCCTACCAACTTGCATGTACCCCAAATAATTCATTGGACAACTTATCCATCCCACAAGCACATATTGACAAGGTAATGCTGCCCAGTAAGGCTAGATTAGATGGATGCACCATGAGTTTTAGCTGGTATTCAAACCTAGAATGTCCAAGTTGTTAGTCCTATGCCTTAACCACTAGGCCATCTCCTCATGGACCAATATTACGTTGTTGAAAAAATGTATTATATATGTTTCCGTACTTATCAATAGGAAAATTCCAAATAGTAGGTTAATCAGACAGTTGAATACTAGCAATGATGGGCCATAAAAAAATAGGCATGTGCTGAATTCAAATTAGTAATAATTGTACACGATGAAGGGGGTACTTACTTCCGGGAAGGAACAAGAGTAGGCTCACAAGTGTGTGTCCTAGATGAATTCATCATTCGACTCTCATTCACCGCATTAGGACTCCTATGCTCCAGACATGTAGAACCACCCGGACCTAAAAAATAGGCTACATCAATTGGATGGAAGTACAGAAGTAAATAAATTTTGCTATGAAAGCTTTACAGATATTGATGGTGTAACGAAAATCATTTCGAAATATAATATCAACATCATTTAAAAAAAAATTATACGAGTTTTACTATTTTGGAGCTTTTGAACCTTGAACTGTCAATTTTTATTAGAAGTTTAGGAAGATGACCTCAGAATCCAATTCTGACGTTTCCATCAGGTCCTGAAGGGTCATTTTAGGCTAGTAGCATAGTTGACACAACTCCCGAGACTTTCAGTGTAAGTCAATGTGATTAAGCGTTTTAACTTTCAAGTTAAGGCCTAAGTTTGACTTTAGTCAATATTCTGAGTAAACAAGCTCGAATGAGAATTTCTTCAGTGCAGTTAGTCCCAAAATGTTTAGTTTGGTCTAGAATAAACCTTTGTTTAGGTTCCGAGGCATCCAGACTAATTCTGAGGCTCCCCGTGGATGTGGCTTACAGTAGAAATTGGGTGTGTAATGGACTAAATCAATCATAGAAAAAGAAAGAAAAGAAAAGAAAAGAAAAAAAGGCAAAGCATCTTCACTACACAATCAAGAACCAATTTTAGTGCAAAATGTAGAACCCCAAAAGTTTAAAAGGGAAATAAAAAATAAGATAAAAGCACAAGCTTTATGCGAAAACATGAAAGAATCAAGAATACCTCTATTTCTTGGGCATTGGAAAAGATCAAGTTTCTCTAACAAATGACATCCATGGACAATCTCAGATAAACTTTCATCACCAACAGAAGACACATTCCACAAGGAAAGTTCTCTGAGCGTAGGGAAACCTCGAGAAATATCCTTGAAACCAACATCAGTCACACCACGACAAACGTTGTTTCCCCGAATAGATATCTTTGCTAAACCTCCATGTTTTGAAGTTCTAATGGCAATAGCAGCAAGTCTGGAAACTGTGACTTTCCTACCAACAAGGGACCTGGCAAGATATCTCTTAGATTCTGTGATCTCATCCTTGTGAACACTGCTTAAAAGTGTGAGCCATCGCTTAGAAACACAAGCATAAGCACTTGTCTCACTGCCACTGGGTAGACGCTTGAATACCTCAAAGAGGAATTTATCAATAAAGATTTCAGTGGAAGAATGATTCCTCTGCTCAAAATTTTCAAAAGCGGTAGTGACACAAATCCTCTTTCCATTTTCCCCACATGATAAAAGCATAGATGATTTATTTCTACTTGGATATGAAGCTTGGAAAAAGCACCGTGTTTCTGAAAAACTAGAAGATTAAAAACATCAGACAAAGACCATCCTACATAAACTATCCTTTGAATAGATATTCTGCCTCAACAGATAGTCACAAAATATGCTCTTAATGGACTAAATCAATCATAGTAGAAGAAAAAAGAAAAAAAAAGCACAAGCTTTAAGCGAAAAGATGAAAGAATCAAGAAGATACCTCTATATTTCAAGACTCTACACGTGGGTATGGTTGAAAACTATTGGGAATTTAATATTTGAATCTTTCAAGCTCAAAAAACTCCTTATTGAGACCAAAAATAGACAATCAACCAAAATAAAGATTACCAATTACATAAACACCTTCATCTTCTTCTTTTTGAAAAAAAAAAGATGAGATGAACACTACATGACATCCTACCTCAATATCCTAAAAACGCATTTTACCTCTTCTTTTTACTGGTTCTTCCATCACTAATTATTTTCATCTAGATAAGTAATATTCATCTCATTTAAGCACAACAGTTCACCCTTTTTAACCACACAATATTAGTGATTGTTATAAGAATAGAAACATTAATGGCGGAAGAACAAGTGGAGGGGAGGCAAAAATGGGTTGGGACATTGAGATGACATGCCACGTAATATTTGTTTCTACAAAATGTCTGCTATTATATTGGATCAAGTGTTCACCTTTTACATTTATATTTGAATTATTCAAGTAATGGTAGTGTAATTTTAAATTAATAGTATAAGGAAGAATAAAATTGATTTTTTCTCTAAGTAAAGAATAAAATTTTGACCATTTTACATTTATAAGTATCACTATTAACCGTCAAAGCTTTTTAAGTAAATTAAAAAGGTAAGACATCCTATTTAAAATTGTCTGGATTTGAATCATGATAGTTCACAGCTTCACCTACTTCAGTAGTTGCTAAATTACATTATTTGATGCTCGTTACAAAAAAATCCAATTTTCAAAAAATTTAGAGTGATTTATTATCCGTCATGAGGTAGATGAGAATTGCAACTTACCTATTTTGTTTTCTATAGTTACAACTTTGCAAAATAATTTTTTTATTAGTACTACTATATATAAGAAAGGATATCCAAAAAAAATTTAAGCAATTCCGCTATGCAAGGTGTGCCTAGGGCTAGATTTATTAATAAAGAGAAAAGGATCTCAAAGAAAAAGGTAAAAACAAGGGGGGCTAGGCCTTACCTTACTAATCTTAATGAGGTAATTAACGAACCTCTACTAATTAACAAGCATGAAGAAAATAAGAGCTAGAGAAAAGTAGATATTCTATGATCATCAGAGTTTATAATACACTTTGTGATGATACTACAAATGAGGATACTTAAGTAATGCAAAAATATAAAATCCAAGAATAAAGTTGAGTTATCAACCTCAAACTTCATTTTGCATATGTAAGAATCAAAAGAGATGGATTCTCCATGTAAAGTAACCTGAAGTATTTCCCTCTTGTCTTCCTCGTCAAGTATGTCCAACAAAACTTGATAATTCATCACTTCTTTTTGGATTTATTGGATCTTGTTATTGTTGAAACGATCATATGATTTTGCTTTTTCAGTCGCATTTGTAGGTGCCTTGGAATAAATTCCCCAGTTACCTTACCATCCCAACTATATGTTGTCTTTCATGTGTCTTCTTTTTGCTTTTGTTGCTTCCACTTCTTTGTTGCCTAGGAGAGATATCCCTATCCTTAGATACCTTATCAAATAATATGTCTAGCATATCATCCTCATCATCCTCGTAAACATTTCACTGCCCAAGTCACCATCATAAGTTGTAGTTGGACTAAGTCTTGAAACTACAACTTCTGGCTCATGGATTTTTTCCAATACCTTGGTGGTAATGGTCAAGATCTTAGGTGGAGTTATTAATTTTCACTGTCATAAATGGATTTGCCTTACTTGAAGGTGCAAATATGGTTATTTGAGGACTTAACTTACTCCTTGCAGGTGAAGAAATATGCTCTTCTTCCTCAACTAAATATGTCCATCTAGAATCACTTGTTTCCTTCACCTAACTCTTGTCATTCCCTTTGGAGATTGATTGTTGTCCAGATATTTTCTCTCCAAGCGTCTCCAATGATGGGGAATTAGGAACATCGTGATTTGAGGTGTTGATTGTTGCCAGGTCTCATTTCATGGTTGTTGCCAGGCAGAGCCACGTAGACTGCAGGGTGTCCGATTGGATACCCTGCGTCGAAAAATTATACTATATATAAACGTAAAATTGAATTATTTCCTTAAATTTTAATACATTTTCCTTGTGGAATAAGATTTTCTTAAATTTTAATATTTTTTCCTTGTGGAATAAGGTTTTCTTTCTCAGAAATGAAGTATATTAAAAATTTGCGAAATCGGATGGATGGTGAGTTTTTAGACGGTTGTATATTGTCTTATGCAGAAAAGAAAGTATTTCGTACTATTTCTAATGAGTCTATTATAAAAACGTTTCAGGGTATGAAACCTCGTCGAGTACCATTGTAATAATATATTTAAATTATGTTTTCAATAGTAGTTTATTTTGTCTTTATGTTAGTTTTGAATTATACACTTGTAATTCTATTAAAAATATTATTATATTTAATTAACTATTGCTTAACTTGATTATTTGTTTTGGTAATTTAAATCGTCATTTTTAAAAAAAATTACTATTCAAAGTTTGGACACCCTTAATGAAATTTTTGGCTACGCCATTGGTTGTTGCCAGGTCTTTACTCGACATTTTAGTTCTCGTTTTCAGTTTCATTTTTCTGTTAGGTATTTCCTTATTTTTCTAAACCAGCGGCACTATTCTATATTTTTATCTCTTCAATTGAGTTGCGTTTCTAGATTACATACATTGTATGTCCCTTTTTTTTCCTTCAAAAAGACAGTGTTAGTTTCATTTAACAACTAAGATTTGAAGCAGCGCAAATCGACACAAGTTGATTCTCATTTTGTTTGAAATTTTACATTGATACCCAAATCATAATAGTTATGTGTTGTATTAAAGGGAATACTCCAATTTGCTAGCAGAGTTAAACGGATCACCAACTGTGTTCAAGTCAATGAGGCCTGCCTCCATCATTTACTATTCCTTTTATGTAATTACTTGTTCATGATCCACTCTAGAGAACACCTAATGAGATTTAATGGTCACGTATGTTGCTGTGAATAGAAGTTTTCCTGTTACTATAATCAGGTTAGTTTAACATTAGTTCCTAAGACACTATACTAGTACGTGGGCTACGGGTTTTGCCAGGCCTAGCCCATATTGACGGCTCTACACTATACCTTGCATTCAAAACTTTCAAATCAAGCTCCAATGCAATTTCAGCACTTAGGCACTATATTCTTTTTGTGTCATAACCAAGGTTTAACAAATCTCATTCAAAAAGATTTGTTTTTTCTGAAAACTCCTAAATGATGCAATAGTTAATTTGGTGTTGGTATATCGATACTATAGAGTGTAGTCTAAAACATCTATTCGAGCACCAATTTTTAAAGCAAAAGGGAGGTGAGTCTTACCTACAAGCAGTATATATAGAGCATTCTTTAACTGGTTTTAATTTTTATTATCTTACAAATAACAAGTTTCATCCTTTCTTGCAGATTTTCTTCCCAGTGGAACCAAATAATGAAACTTATTATTAATTACTAGCTTCTTTCTTTGACGTCTAAGGCAGAGCTTATTGTAGTTCAACTTCTTTGTAAATACTAAATGATGCAGCCAAAAAGGGGAATGGAAGTACTACGCATGAAACTTCAGGTGATTGTCTTGTCTCGATCTCAAGATTCATATTCATAAGTTGCACAAAATATCTTAATATGGGATGAAACCTCTTACATAGGGATCACATTCCGATCGAGGTGCTTGAGCAAGAGATATTGAAACACAGAAATGACCTACTGATGGTAATTATTATTACTATTTGTTTGTTTTTGTTAAGAGTAGAAGATTGATCATAACTTTTGTGGATCAATATTATTTAGTGTGATCAAGATGAAGATTAGTGAATATGTTGCCGGTTGGTGGAGATTGCTGTAAAATTTTCCCTCCCCACAATGTCCTGGCAGTTCACAACTATATTTGTACCTGGGTAAAGACTGCTCAGAGTGGAGTTCAAGTGCAAGAACAAAAACCATAAAAAAAAAGGTTGATAGAATTTAGGAACTTCTTGATCGTTTCAAAGCTAGAGCTCACTAAGATTATTGATCATTATAAAAGCTTTTACTTATTGGTCGTATTTTTATTTTTTGTCTAATGTAATTTTTTTGTATAAAAATGTTAATTATGGTACTTGGTTTCTCGAACATATTTCCTAGGAAGATCAAACACAATAAAATTATATCATAAATTAAATTGTTGGGCCCGTGCTTAGCACGGGCAAGAACCATCTACTCTACTATGTAGAAGCATGAAAGGTAGGACGACCACAGCTTAATTTTATTGTACATTGTGTAACAAAAGTTGGACAGATTTCTAATTTTGATAGTTAAATCAAAAGTGAGGGTAATTTTGTCTTTTGACTATGGTCTTTTGGCTTCTCGATTATTCGAGTAATTTTCCTGGATAGTCACCCATGTTTGGGAAATTACCTTGAAATATCACTTATGTTTGTTTTAGGACCACAATATCACCTAACTTTATCTCTTTTCCTCAAAATATACTTACACAAAAAAAAACATTATCTCCTGTGACATGGCATCCTATTAGGAGAGAGATAATATTTTTTTTGTGTCAAGTATATTTTGAGGTAAAGTTGGGTGATATTGTGGTCCTAAAACAAACATAAGTGATATTCCTAGGTAATTTCCCAAACATGGGTACGGTACTGACTATCCAGGGAAATTACTCCGATTATTCTTTCTTCTCTCCATTGGCCTTCCACCACTCCCAAATCCCAATTTCTCTAGCACAATTCTTTTCTACTCTCAACTTCAAAATTCACCACAAGACTATCAAA